GACGCCACCAGGATAAGGTTTGGCTGCTTCTTTTTGTACAGTCGCTTCATAGCCTTAATACTGGATACTCGAACCTACAATAGGCGCTTCTCATCTCATGTTGCTAGGAACTCTGAAATAGCACCACGCACTTATCGCTCTTGGATTGCGAGGAGACTCATATGAACAAAACAACATAAAGAATTCTGCAGAAAGCTTCACAACTACCCAAAGGTAGTATGGCAAGCAAATAAAAAGCGGCTGCGTCGTCGGCCGTCGAATTGGAGTCAACTTTTCTTCAACCGTCAGGGTTGGACAATCTGTATCGTGCCAGAAGCGTGATGATGACAGTTAACCGAACTTTCTCATTGGTTTTCCTGAGCCCTGCTCCGAACGGAAAGCGCCGACCTACATTAAGTATAAAGCGATGCGATCACTGCCTTTTCGAGAGTGGATATTATCCAGTTAAGCACGTGAAAAATGATTCAGGTTCACTTAAAGTCTGCTGAGGTGTAGCTTGGTACCTTTTGAACACTAGCATCTGCTCAATCCGTGTGTCGTGTGCACTGTCCTGGTACAGCCATTCCTGTCGAACTATTGAAATGAAAAGCAAAAATTTTCTACACATATTATAATCCTCCAAACTTAACAGCTACCCGAGCGTTTTGGGAGAAGCAGAGCGTTCACGAAAAGGCTCGGATAGGAATGGATTTCGTCGCATTCTCGAATTACAACAGATACTGTACGATGATACTTTGCGGAATTTGCGCACTTTGGGGTCCAAATGAGATTTCGTAGAAGTCGACGCTGGGATACTGGACCATCTGACTACATACAAAATTATCAATAAATTTTTGCGCTAAAAAAAACTTCGCTTGCCTGGGGAGAGCCATTCCGCGCCCTGATCACGAAGTCGGCATTTTTTGCCTCGTTCGGGCCAGCCTGCGACGAAGGCTGCTGTTTGGTAACCAGTAAGCTTACTTCACCCAGCAAGATCCGGGTCGGATCTTCAGCCGAGGCAACCGACGCCTTACTATCCTGTCGACAGTATGTCCCTCATAGCAACACAGTTCCAATGCGTGTCCGAGAGGGGAAACGGACCATAGCAACCGGGGCGGGGCTGGCAACTTCACAGACCGCTTGCTTTCCGGTTCTTTCCAGCGATGAGGCAGGATGTCTCGCTTCAGAGAGAAATTTTGGAGAATAGCACCCTATCAAGACTTCCTTCTGTCGACCTCATATCCCCCTCCGTTCCCCATTCTACCTACCATAATCCTAATTTCCGCCCAAGTCCCTGTAAGTTTTTTCAGAGTTTTCCGAGAACTTTTCCAATCTTTCGCAGAAAACTGCCTATGAAGGAGGCTGGTCGTCCATCACCCCTTGATTGTCCAATCTGTCGGGAAATTATTGAGAGAAAAAACTTGTGTAATGGTAGTTCTGGCAGAGCCACAAGGGACAGGGAAAGTGTTAATGACACATGACATGTGGCAAAAAGCGAGAAATCAACAACCGAAAGCTCTCGAACGTACGATGACCTGTAATGGAGACTGTGTCTTCTCTGAGGGACTAATCCCCCTTAGCGACTCTGTTCGTTCTTCGTTCAGCGTGAACCCTCTTTTTAGAGAAGATTAAGGGCGTGGCCTAGTTTTGTTCAACATACGTTTCGCGGTTAGGGCACTCATCTTATTGAGACGCCCTAATTGGGAGTGCCAGGATTGCCAGAGTAATCCAAAAGCAACAAACGAAAAGGAGACCAGACGTCATGAGGGAAGAGGCGAAAGAGACAAGGAGAATGGCCGTACCTATAAATGAGCACAAACGCTTCTGTTTCTTAGCGGTAGGCGGCTGGTATAGTTCTCGCCTGACATTTACATATTACACCCGAATGGTGGAACCTCCTTACGTGGTGGCAAACACGGTCCTTCGGCCTCAAGACGGTCGCAGCGCTGTGCCGAAGGGTGGCATTGAAACTTCTAGAATGCAGAACTCGGCTACTCCACAGGATTCTCGCCACTCGACTCAATCGTAAATATGTCCTTGAATACTAATATTAACCAGTCGATCGCCCGGCTGACGAACGAGCTCTCCTCCTTCTCTTTAGCTCGGCTTCGCCGAGCTGGCCTGGCTTGGCCGGGCACCTTTCCCTTGGGCGATTTAGAAAGCGCTAAATGTACCAAACGCTGGCAATCATTTTTTTATTAAACTCTAAAAATAAGATGAAAAAGCTCAACATCAGTCATTGTCTACCCCGTGAAAGGCTGCGCATTATCAATTGAAAAGATCTGCGAGCTTGTGATCAGAAACTAGGTAAATATTACTAATTGAGTAATTTGTCCGGTTAAGTGTTCCGCGTGAGTCCCATACCAAACTGGAAAGAGGCATAACTGTCGGGGTCAATGAGACCCCGCCCCCCCCCCCCCCCTTCGTACACCATTTCAAACGCATCTGTACCAAATACTACTTCAAAAGCACGACCTTGATTCCGTACATCGAAGGAAAGAGTTCACGTACTGAGCCTCTAATATTGGGTCTAATACTTGGCATTAAAGCGGTAAGAAGTGATAAAAATATAGCGCAGATGGTATCTTATCCGTTTTTATCGATTGATAAGATTACCTGTCACTTGTCATCAATGTTCTCATCGCCAAATCTCTGAGATTTGGTAGCGTGAACCACCTCGAACAGCGACGACTGCAATTTCTCTTATCAGCCCCTATCAGTAGTTATCGCTTCCAGTCACCCACGGTTGATGTCCCCATCTCACCCTCTATATCACTTGCTGAAACGCATGCCTCGCTGATGCTGTGACCTGCGCTATGAATACGATGACCTCACCTTTCTAATGCCCCTTATCGAATCTTATCAGCAGCTTACAGTTCTTGTCACCCACCAATAATGTTCTTGGCCCATACCCTATATCATATCTTGGAATCAAGAGCTAGCTGATGCTGTCACCCGCGTTATGAATATGGTGACCTCCCCCTTCTAACGCCTCTTATCGGATCTTATCAACTGATATCACTTCCTGTCACCCACCAATAGTGTTCCCGTCACACCCCTACATCACTTCTTGAAATCAATGTCTCACTGCTATTGGGACCGGCGCTATGAATTTCGTGACACACACACGAACACACACACACACACAGACATACATAGCGGATTATATATAGTAGGATGATATTCATGATAATATGTCTGAACGACTCTATTCGTTTTTTTTTCCAATGCAGCACCACTGGATGTCTAATGGCTACCGCTCTCCTGCGCGTTTGCAAGCCATCTTCCTCTGGTTATTGTTCTGATACTTCTGTTATGTTCAAAAGATTTATGTTCAGCAATTTTTATTGCACTTCTTTAGCAGAGACAGTATCCGCATGATAAGCAAGTTCGAATGAAAACGGCCTCAGACCGAGATGAATACAAATACAGTTGGTATCGTCGCGATCAGTCGGGTGGTTTCAATGGAATGAATAAATGAATGAAATGTTTCAAAAAGGTTGATGGAATGACCCCATCTGCGGCATTTTCGCCACAGGTTGTTTGGTTACTTGATTGATCAGTAACCGATCACTAATGGTATAGCAAGGCAGACGGAGGCAAGCGTAACCTCCCTTCCTCACACCGCCCCCTGTTCATAGTATATAGGCGTAGCAGTCGTTTATTGAAGACTGCTCGGTGAGTCGGCTAGTGGTAGAATGCTCACAAAAAGGGGCGTCCCTCTAACATCAGGCGGGGTCGCGCCTGGTCTATCTAATCTGTTCACCAAGGGTCATAAATACATTGCTAGGGGCCTAAGTCACATTCACATAATATCGTGTCTAGATGACACTTATAATTGATGAAGGTTCCGGAGGCATTCCAGAACACCTCGACTGATTACGATGTTACAAAATATACCTTTCGGAGCTACACTCCTTATCCCTGAGCCAGAGTAGGCGTGGCATTTGAACGTGGCACGGAATAGGCTTACTCGTGGAATATTCCAGTCTGGGACAACTGTCATCTTGTTCTGTGTTGGGCAGGACGACCACAATTGTGTCAAGATGAAAATATCTCACCAGAAGCACAGCAGCCTTCAGGTTCAGTTGAAACACGCAGCCACGCCTACCCGATCTCAGGGATTTCGAGCATACAACTGAGCAAACACCTCAATACGTTTGAGGACGCGTTCATATTTTGCGACGCTTTCAGTGAAGTCGACGTTTTCGGTGGCTGTATTCAGAAGATTGGATACATTTCGTCGAATACGGTGGGTCAACATGTACACTTTCCTTTCAGCTTAATTACTGAAATCGTCAGCATCGCAACTTATGAACGCATCCTAAGAGATCACTCAATGGGCGATGTTGCTCTTCACATAGCATTAGAGGCGCTCACGAGCCAACGGAGAGGTGCGCCAGACAGATAACTGAATAACTGCAGCATTAATAATCAAAAATGCGGTTGATCTGCAAAGATTCACAGAAAAATAATCTCTCAGGAGGTTGCTAACCTACCTCTCGAGTTAACTTCTCCGGCGCAGTTCGGCGACGGGGGTGGGAGCATTTTGTAATATCACTGCCTCCCTACTTCCTGCTCACCTTCTTTTGCACCGATGCCACCACCTTTGGCGACATTTCGCTGTTCTTCTTGCATACTGATTCTACAACCCAGACGATAGAATAGCTAGAATTTGGCACTTCAACTGGTCCTAATGACGTTTACCAGGAGATATGTTCGAAACAATGATATTAATTCGAGCAAACTCACTTCGAGAAAATCCCTGTCATAAAGGACAGTCAGTTTCTGTAGTGTCAGGAGAGAAGATCGCTGCTCATTAGTACAAGAATGCATCTTACGATGGTTACCTGGAACAGCCTGATGCAGGGTTTGTCTCTTTTGGCTGCAGAAGAGCAGAAACAAGGGAGGTGACATTATTTGAACAACTGGAAAGCACAAAGATTACCCCGCTGGTTCCTGTTCTTGGCTTGTTTACATTCCCACCAATGCCAGGCGTTGGTGAGGTCTCTGGGAAGAACCTAAGAGGAACAATCGACAGAATTTGATCCCTGTTGTGGGCGCTGATCACCATGGTAGCTGCTCACCTAAAAATATACCTTAAGCAGAGTTGGGACAAAAAAAGAATCAATAGCCCAACGAGAAGAGCGAAACCTTCGAAAAACTCACTGAGTTCTCCAGTGACTCATCCGAATGCTCAGTTTTGATGGAATCTGGATTAGCTGATGAGTGTGCAGGAACAGGTGTCAGCTCGTCGAAGTGTCCAACGATATCACCTCGTACAACCTCATAATTTCCGTGTTCCAACACATCTCTTAGGGTCTGTGGTTTTATTTCACAATCCAAAGAGCTCAGCCCATTGTGCTCCTGAAATTGAATTTATTTTTTTTCAATTGCATCTTCTAGACTTCTGTCAGCCGTGGGCAAGGGGGTACAGCGGGACAACATTATTAAACACACTTTGCTTGGAAATCGCCTGTGCTAGCAAATGCGCGCTATGGAGGACTGGAGAATTTCGGCAGTAGTAGGAAGTTGGAGTCACTCAAGGGGTGCTAGGTAGCATAGGAAGGGGGAAGAGATATCGTACTACAGAACCTGGGGATGGTTATTCCAAACAGCAACTGTTATAGAGGTCTGCAACGAACTGGTAAGTACGATTTTAAGGACGGCGAACTGTCGAGATATGCGGCGTAGTGAAGATTCCATCCACAAAAAGACTGCTACACACAAAAAGAAAATTTCACTCACCGAATACTTCAGTGGTTGATCGGACTGTTCCCTTTTCATGGGATCCAGATTGATATGAGCTGGAGGCTGTGAAGAAAGAGAGGACAATTCAGTGGTTCCATAGCCGCTGTGCCTCACTTCACCACCCGAATTTTCTGGTTTTGCTTCACGACCCAAAGTGCTCGGTCCACCATTTTCCTGAAATTCAAGCCATCTTACTAACCCCAGTACATGTTCGATGTGAATCTGTTCTCAGCCATAAAAAGAGTGGAAATGGTAAAAAGGGGTAGCGCAGAAACACTGCGGACGAAACAACAACTGCCGGACGAAGTGGTAAAGGGTAAAGAATGAGGGCTCTCGATTATATTCCAAGAAATGATATGAAAGTACTCGATGATACATATCATTTCAAGAAATAATCAGGTTAGAAAAAAATATGCTGGAGCCGTTTCTAGAGTCGATATACAGACAGATCATAGAAGCAGAACCACTTAGTAAAAAAGGATAGAAGAAACGGGAATGAAGGTAGGAACATATTACTCCACAAATCCACAAATAAAGCCTTCCATATCTTCCTTTACTTGTCCAGCATCGGCATTTTCTGGGCGCTTTTCATTTAGCACTTGTCTCAGTAATTGCGGAAGAGATGATGTCTTAAAGATTGCATCTTCAAATATTTCACGATTTTTACATCAAGCCCTGAGCTGTTCAATAAGGAGGGGCATTTTAGTGCAATGCACCCAGGAGATCAAATTCTAACAGAAACATTCGCCGTAAGTATAAAAGCTGAGGAAAAGTTATGCCAACTGGCTGCTCACGAATTCACTTACCCCGGGCTTCATCCCTTCCTGAGCCTTGAAGAAACCCTTCGTTTTCCCTGGCTCACTATCGCTTCATCGCCCCGCTTAACTCGAAGTTCGCATATTAAGGAGAACCGGCGTAGAAACGAATTAGGAATCATTAGTCGATTCAACGGACTCCATATGCAATACTAGTCCCCCGGATGTACTGCACAAAACGCCCCTCTTTACTAGAAGAGTGGCCTAGTCTTTCGTACCTGTTGACCAACGGGCTGATGATGATACTGATTGACACTTAACACTCGTCGTGCTTTTGCAGACGAGAAAGGTGGATCGCGTATTCATAAGGCAACGCCAAGACACTCCATACGTGGTCTAAATTACCAAAAAGTAATGGTTTCGAAAAATAGAATTGAATTGGTAGAATTATTGAATTTCAATGGGATAGTCGGCACTCTCCACCCTTTATTGCCCTCCACCTCAACACGAAATTTAGGACAGATTTTGATCAACACTTCTTTCTTGCGATTTGACTTGTCTCCCCTGCCTATGAGGAAGAACATCACATCCGTTACGAAAAGAAACGAACCAGCGTCACAGGTAGTTTTGGAGCCGGAGCCTAAGTGGATCGAGAAGGGCACTTTCCTTTTTGGCCGTTTAAACATGCATATCCTTGGGACAGGTTTTTAACAAAGTCGGTCTTTGGAGGTGTTCCGGTAGGCAATTACAAGCGAAGGGAAAGCCGCAGTCTTATACTGAGGGTGAAACTGCCCAGGGACAATATTCTAGCCAAATCTGCAGACGAAAGGAAACTTCTATCGAAATCAGGCAAGGATTTTAGGGCTAAGGCAACAAGGGCTAAGTAATACGGGATAGTCAAGGCTGCGCTGATACTTTGCGACGGGTCGATAGGAGAATCGAAAGTTCGACATTTAGAAAGAATGGGCGTTCCCGCAAAGCATCAAATCGCTAGCGACCGCTGCCAACCGATTAACATCCACTCATTTGGCGCCATTTCTCCGAAACGTTGTGTTTCCGATTCTCCTCTTCGTTTGGGCCAAAGCATAAGCACAACCTCAGTGGGAAGTACTACTCTAATGTACTGCAACCGCGCATTACTCAGCATTTCAGCGGACAAATTATCGTAAATCGGATAAAAAAAGTCAAAGTGTATTGGCTCATAAACATACCCTTTTGTAGTATGATGGTTGCTCGCCTCCAGCGCGTCTGTACTGAATATCGTGGCCATGTTGACTCTGTTTTCCAACTTGCTTAGCTGCTTTTCGCTGTCTCAAATCTTCCAGGACTCCCTTTTGGCTTTCCCACTCTTTAACGAGTGGTGGCTCTACACTGCAGTTACCGCACACAAACCGAACCACAGCCGTAGTGCCAATCGCTTTCAATTGCGTATTGTCCAGACGAGTTCCGCATCCGGGGCAGAACTGGCACAACATCACCAGCTGTTCGCCTTGCACAACGTAGAACTTCTTCAAGTCATCCGCTTTCGTCAGTCCCAGTTCATGCTCAGATAGCTAAAATTGTTTTCAGAACAGCTGAATAGGTGGACGCTATGTGTAGGAAGCCTCAGGGGTTTCTTCACTTACGTCCTCCAAATCGATATTGTCTCCAAGTGGTTCGGGCTGACTTGGGGATTCTTCCACATCGCCGTTCGATGTCTCCTCTTCCTAAACTTCGGATCGCATGTTTCGCAAAGAATAAGGCGTTAACATAATTGAGCGGGGCCAAGCTGCGGTGCATCGCCATCCCCACGCT